TACGATAACACATAATATATAGAAACTTCTAAATTACATTGACTAAATGATTCATTAAACAAAATAAATAATAAAAAACTATTTTCTAAATTTTGTTTTTTTTTTTTCATAAGTGAATAACCTAATTAATATATTTGATGTAAATTAATTAATCAAGTTAAATAATCTTGAAAATTCATAACTCATTATAAAGCTCATAAAAATACATGCAAAAATATAAATATTAACTTACTCTTCTAGAGTGTAGGAAATTTTTTTTATTAAAATGTGGTTATAAAGATAAGCAAGTATTAAATTATTATGATAAAGTATAAGAATAGAAAATGTTTTGAAATTGCTTTTAGAAAGACTTGAACCTATGACCTTTGAAATAATAACCACATAACACACTAACAAAGTTACTTTGTCTTTATTATACATTTGTATATATAATTTACTTGGGAAGGGTTCAGGTGCGGGTATAGCTTCCCGTGCGGTTGTGCGGTTAAATTTAGATCAACGACTCAAATCAATGAAAATTAAAAAAAAAAAAAAAAAAAAAAAAAAAAAAAAAAACGTTTGCCAAAGCCCAGTGTGCGAATACCAGGAAGGCGAGGAGGAGACTCATTCAACTCATCAACTCTATACTTTGAATTTGGATTTCTCCTTTTATCTTGCTTAGGAGTAGCGCAGCTTTGCTGGAGGGTTTTGCCAAAGCCCAGGGCAAGTCGGAGGCTTGGTGCACCTTAAGTGTTAGATCTTAATCACAAACTCACGCACTTTAAGTACAAAACCCACACACATTAAGCACAACCTCACGCACATTAAGTACAAAACCCACGCACTTTAAATATTAACTCACAGACTTTAAGTTTCAACAACCAAGTACAAAACTCACGCACATTAAGTACAAAACCCACGCACATTAAGCACAAACATCACGCACATTAAGCACAAAACTCACGCACTTTAAGTATTCACTCACAGACTTTAACTTTTAACAACTATTCACGTTAAGCACATCCCCACGCACATTAAGCACAAACCTCACGCACATTAAGCACAAAACACACGCACATTAAGCACAAAACTCACGCACATTAATCACAGATCCGCTCACCTTAATTTTGACCTAGATGCAAAAATTACAAAATTGCCACCGCGTTTTTTTTTTTAAACTTTGATAATCCTGGACGTTGATTAAAGCGAGATGGATGGCTCAGATTAAACCGCACAACCGCACCTGAAGCCCTCACCCGCACGAGAACCTAAATCTAATTTACTTTTATATATATATATATATATATATATATATATATATATATATATATATAAGCTCCAGTGCGGGTAAGTGTCTCCACACGGAGCTAAAAATATTTTTGACTGGGAATGGGAAATTAAAATATTTTAAAACGCGAAAAAAATTATTAATAACAAAATATGAAATGTAATTAATTGGATAAAATGATTTGGATAGAAAACACATTATAAATCACACATATTCTGTATCGATATGATATTTAAAATTACTTTTTCTTTTAGCTATATCAAGTTCAAGTTTTTCTAGAGTAATTCGAATACGATAACACATACTATATAGAAACTTCTAAATTACATTGACTAAATGATTCATAAAAATAAAATAAAAAATAAAAAACTATTTTCTAATTTGTTTTTTTTTTTCATAAGTGAATCACCTAATTAATATATTTTATGTAAATTAATTAATCAGGTTAAATAATCTTGACAATTCATAACTCATTATAAAGCTCATAAAAAACACATACAAAAATATAAGTATTAACTTACTCTTTTAGAGTGTAGGTAAAAAATTTATTAAAAATGTGATTATAAAGATAAGCAAGTATTAAATTATTATGATAAAGTATAAGAATAAAAAATGTTTTGAAATTGCTTTCAGAAAGAACTTATGACCTTTGAAATAATAACCACATAACACACTAACAAAGTTACTTTGTCTTTATTAAACATTTGTACATATAATTTACTTATATATATATATATATATATATATATATATATATATATATATATATATATATATATATATATATATATATATATATATAATTAAGCTCCAGTGTGGGTAAGTGTCTCCCGTGCAATTGTGCAGGTGATTAATGTGCGTGGGTTTTGTACTTAAGGTGTGTGAGTCTTGTGCGTGAGGTTTGTGCTTAATGTGCGTGAGTGTGTATTGAGTTTTGTGCTTAATGTGCGTGAGTGTGTACTTAATGTGAGTTGTTGTTGAAACTTTATGGTGCATGAGTTTTGTGCTTAATGTGCATGAATTTTGTGCTTAAGGTGTGTGAGTCTTGTACTTAAGGTGCGTGAGTTTTGTACTTAATGTGCGTGAGTGTGTACTTAATGTGAGTTGTTCAAATTTAAGGTGCGTATGTTTTTGTGCTTAAGGTGCGTGAATTTTGTGCTTAACATGTGTGAGGCTTGTGCTTAACGTGCGTGGGGTTGTGTTTTTAAGGTGTTTTGTTTGTGTGCTTGATGTGTGTGTGTTTTGTACTTTAAGTGCGTCAGATTAATGCTTAATGTGTGTCTACCCGCACAACTGCACGGGAAGCCCCACCCGCACCTGATCCCTTCCCTATATATATATACATAATTTGGCATGAAGAGAGTGAGGTCATTGTTGCCTTTAACTTGCTGGAATTCGCCTATCGCTCTGAAGGAACCAGAACCAAATTAACTGAGAAACACAAAGATATTGTAATTAAACTGTGACAAACTGGGGAAAAAGTAATTAAAAATAACAGATGGTAGCCATTTGGCAATGTAACCGTTTGAGAACCTGTAAAACTGGAATATTGAAAGAATTGCATGGTATTGGTTAGTTGGTTTAGTGATTGCAGTATATTTTCTCAAACAAATGATACCCGGAGTATCGGGTAATCAATCCACAGGGAAGTGGGTATTAAGTACTAGTTACTAGTTTATTCTTTTGAAGCTAATCCTAATGATTAATTTGAATGGTTGCAATAAATAAATAAAATAAAGCAAAATATCAGGGTTTGAAAACAATAGAGAGAGAATGGGATTTCTGGGATTCAAGTGTTTAATCATCTAGTGTCTATCTTAATTGCAATATTAAATCTGGGTTTAAACTAGTGTGAGAATACAAAGATGGTATAGAGTTACTCCCATAATCTCTAACCCTAGCGAATATTCACTCCCGTGATATAAACACTCAATAATAATAAAAACAAGCATTCATAAATAATTCATAACTACTACCATCTCCCGATGTGCAATACTCAAGAATTAAACTCCCTAACATATATGACATCTACCATGCAAGGTGCAAAAGTCAAGTGCAATTGTGTGTACTCTTATGCCTAACTCCCGTTATGACATAAACAAAGCAATGAAACAATGAATTCAGGCCCTGAACTACTAGCAACAACAATAATAAACACAATTGCAACAGAAGTTTAAAACCCAAATAATAATAAATTAAAGAATTTGAGAGCACAAGCATATAGGTTCATAAACACTTTTACCTAAGAATCTCTAAGGGAATTTAGCCAAGCATGGCTAAATTATACATAGCAAAGTATAGTAAAGAAATTACAAATTATCAAAAAAAAAAGTACAAGAATGAACCAGACGATTTTCTCAAATCTCCCTAGCTTTCTTCTTGCTTCCCAAGACAACTTGTTACCCTTGATTTCTCTTCTTTCTTGTCTCCAAAGATCTCTGAATGTCTATTAGAATTGAGAAATACAAAATTTTATAGTAGGTACAAAGCTGTGGGGGCGAATTTAAAATTTCTCCTTTTTATTATGGAATATATGCCGCCTTTCTTTTTGAAATTAAGCGCGGCTCCTCTTTTGGAAATTTATGCCGCCCATTGTAATTAACGCCCCGCCTTTTGTAATTAATGTTGCTCGACGCGTCATTCGCGCGATTTTTAAATCAAGAGGCATTTTACTTTTTTTCGACGCGTTGGAGCTTCACGTTGGAAAATTTGTGCGGTCCGCGTGTTTTCGACGCGTCGAGTGACATCGAGTCTTCTTGGTTCTAATTTGTCCATTTTAACTCAAAACTCGTCTTAAAATTTTCTTTACTCTTGCAATTAACCTACAATGGTTTTAAAACACCACGAGTGTAAACCATAACTAAATAATAAAACAAGGGATTATGCAATTAGATTACTAAAATCATGAACTAAAGCCTAACAAATATAATCAAACCAATGCTAGAAATATGCACAATTAGATTCACATCATTTAGGGACCTAATTGCAATTTGTTTTAGTTCAATGGCTCAATTACAGTTTTGTGTGCACTTCAATTACATATTTGACCCTTATTCCTTATTATTTTAGCCAGTAAGATTTATAACTATTATTTAAACTGATTAAGTTCTTGTTCTATTAATAGTTTTATTGGCTTTAATAATAATTTTAAGTTTATGACATGCAATATAGTTGGTATATTGCCTTTGCAACGGTAATTTGGTTATTACCTCAATTTTAGTCTTCCTAATAACCACAAAAAAAAAAAAAAAAAAAAAAAATCATAATAGTCATTGTTAATTATTATGTGGTGATATGAGATTGACATTTGGCATCTTCTCAATTACATCTTTGCTTATATGCCGGTTATATTTATTAATTACTGTTATTAAATTTTGGGACTAATCTCGTTTATTACATTTCATGATAATTATTATTTCTTGGTAATCTATTATAAATAGTAATTAAGTACTACCAATAAACTGTTACGAACCATTAGGCATTGCATTGAGATTAATACCACTAACGGATCAACTCACGAAGATGGGGAGAATTTTGGAGATTTTCTTTGCCTGTTGTTCGTCATCGATGTTAGCGTTATGCATAGATGCGGTTTGCATCATTAAGGTAACTCATTAATTACTCTTTTTTGTTATTATTGATAATTAGTGTTATAGTTATAATTAATTGTTATTTTTTGAAATAGTCACATTTTATTTTTAGAAAAATGAAAACATTATTAATGCATTGAACATAAGCTCAAAAATCAAAATGCTCCCTTTGAGAAGGAAAGGTAGAACAGAACATATATAACTGCACATTAGACTTTCGAAATGTGTACATATTTCAGTATTATCTTAATTAACTATCTCCCTCAAACATAACACCTAAAATCATTGATTTCACCAAAAAAATTGGTGGTGAATCAAGCTTCAAAGACTTTGCATTCCTTGTCTCCCGGGTTTGTCTTGCAGTAGTCCTCCAAAGGGTCTCCGCTTCCTGCAACTGCCACCCCCGGCCACTTGCTAGCTACTAGATGTGCCAAATCCACCACACGTTGGCTGCAACGCCCAAAAAAAAGCGTATAGTAAATCATGACGGTATATAAAGATAGTCTCGCTATCAACTTAAATAATGCAGTTTAAGTACCTGTATCCCCACTCATTGTCGTACCAGGCGACGACCTTGACCATGTCGTCTCCCATGACCATGGTCAAGGAAGAGTCGATGGTTGAGGAAACATCGCTGCATCTGAAATCAACAGACACAAGAGGGGCATCACAGACATCCAACACGCCTTTGAGTGGGCCATCGGACGCCTTTCTGAAGGCTGCATTGACATCTTCCGCGGTGAGTCCTTTCTTCTGGACGTTGACCACGAGGTCTACAACGGAGACGTTAGGCGTTGGCACTCGGAGAGCAATGCCGTTGAGCTTGCCCTTCAGCTGGGGTAGCACCAGAGACACTGCTTTGGCAGCACCAGTGCTGGTTGGGACTATGTTCAATGCTGCAGCTCTTGCCCTTCTCAAGTCCCTGTGTGATGCATCCAACAGCCTCTGTATGCAACCAAATTAACCATTACATTATTTTTTGTTTGTTAATCCTGAACTGATTCTTTTTTTTTTGTCAGAACACAAGGTGTCCTGAGCAGGTCCTAACTGTAGGACAGGCACCTTTAAGCCCGTACCATATTCAGACTAATCTCTGTTTGCACCAGACCAGCCCAATTAAGGGGCAGAGTGCTGGCCAGATTGGTTTTTCCATACGAGAGGGGGTTCGAACTCCCGACCTCTCTTAAGGGGCAAGAGTGGATTCTATTATCACCTGATCACCGGTGTAAGAGTGAGTGGTTGTCATTGTTCCCTTGACAATACCTGCAAATTAAATGGCCATTTCCATTAACTTAGCTTGCATAGTATTATCCAAAGCCAGATAACATGATGGAATGAAGCTTCTTGCTATTGGCAGCTTACCAAATTCCTCATCCATGACCTTTACAAAGGGAGCCAAGCAGTTTGTGGTGCAAGAAGCATTGCTGCAGTTGTGACAAGAACCAAATTAAATTGTTAGTACCCTTTTCTAAATGGCCAAGTCCGCCAAGTATGGTACGGGCTTAAAAGTGCCTCCTATAGTTAGGGCCTACTCTGGTGGTCTAACCAAAAAAAACAAATTAGGCAATGATCATATCAGCTAAGAATTAGTATTGATGGATGATTCGTGGAAGCACTCGCCTTACGATGTTAGAGACCTCGTGGGAGTAGTCTTGTTCGTTTACGCCAACAACATAGGTTGGAATATCAGCCCCTTTTGCTGGGGCAGTGATGATAACTTTCTTTGCACCAGCTTGTATGTGCTTTCCAGCACCCGGACCATCCACAAACACTCCTGTTCCCTGTCATTCAAACAACAAAGTTTTGTTCTTTAAGGTTTAAGGCTATCCTAGATTCCGACCACAATCAGCAGTTAGCAGATAGCAGATTGTCGTTATTCATGAGCATATATATATATATATATATATATACCTCAATAACAATGTCAATACCCATATCAGCCCAGGGAAGCTTGAGAGGATCCCTGTTGGAGACAACCTTAATGGGCTTCCCATCAACAGAGATGGTCTCATTGTCCACTACCTTCACATCTGCCTTGAAAGTTCCCAGCATGGAATCATACTTGAGCAAGTGAGCCGCCTGCACCACCATTCATGCCCAATTTACACTCTAAATAAGCAGGAAAGAAACAGTAATAGCACAGATTCGATTTGTTTTTTTTCGCTCACATTCTTGACACCAGCACTGTCATTGACAACAATAACTTCCAATGGCGAATCCTTGCGCCCGTGCCAGCAGCGCAGGAAGTTTCTACCAATGCGCCCAAAACCATTGATTGCAACCTTCAATTTGGCAACAGTGACCCCCTTAACTGGGGCTCCTGTAGCCTGCAGATTCCAGACACCATTCAAAATGTTAGAAACAACATGGTTTAGCAGTATCAACAATCAATCCAATATTTCAAACGAGAATTTTTACTTTGGGAGTGAGTTGGGCAGCCACAACATCAGAGAAGGAAGCTTCCCTGTTAGAAAACGTAACACATCCACTTGAACGCAGACCAGAGAACTCAGCCACTTCTAGCCTCTAACCAACCAGAAAACAAGATATCAGATCATGTTGGGATCAAATGCTTACCACTAAACCAAAAAATCATAGCTAGTAGAAAAGGCGCAACTTTATTTCCTTGTATCATCACCAGAGTCAAGGTGCTGGACTTGGCCCTTCAGGCCTCCGCCCAACAATCCTTTAGTGCTGGACTTGGCCCTTCAGGCCTCCGCCCAACAGATCATATGACAAAACCTTATGAAACCTCAAAATTTTAAGGTACTGCAACTGGGAGTTACCTTGGAGAAGCATTGAGGAGTGGAGGTCTTGGAGGGAAGCCTGGTTCGGGTTGGGATTCTTGAATAAACTAGAGCTGCATGGGAAGCCATGGCTGCAACTGCAACAACTTCAGGACCAACTTACAAATCCTGATTTCCCAGTTATTTATACTACATTTCATTTGATTCATTGATCAAAAATGCTTTAAACAAATGCATGGCTGCGATTCATGTAAAGCAATGAGTGGAGAGGATGGTGTGGTGAAGATTGATACGAGATAAGATCAGTCTGTCATGGTATATTGACCTTCAAAATCTGAACCACAAGAAGCTAACATATATAACAAAAATTTATTGCTGCTACATACACAATTATACACCTTTGTTTTTAATTTGCTTTTAATGGTTTTCCAATCTTGTGTAAGTGACACCTGTATATATAATGATTATAGTTATGTAAGAAAAATGAGTCAATATATGCATACAAACACATTATTCTATGGTTGTTTATATTGAAATTAAATATAGATTACAATTGCTAATGACTTTGTGGTATAGTGGCACGAAGTGGCTCTCCCAAATGGGAGGTCATGGGGCGGTATTGACTCTTTGTGCTTCAATAGGTTGAGAAAGTAGCTTTGTATCTGATAAAATCTTGGGGTAGAGTCTTGGTAACTATTAAGTTACAAGTTCAACTCCGGCAAATTATGCCGAGGTGGACACGATTCCAAAACTGTCATAATTATGAATATAGAGTTCAAAAATTATGAACATAGAGTTCTATTATTATGAACATGGAGTTCTGTAATTGTGAATATAGAGTTTAATAATTGTGAATATATATGAAATTCAAAATTTATGAACATAGAATTTTGTAAGTATAAACATAGAGTTCTATAATTGTAAATGTAGAGTTCAATAATTGCGAATATGAAGTTCTAAAATTATGAACATAGAGTTTTATAATTATAAACATATAGTTCAGTAATTATGAACATAGAACTGTGTCCACCTTGCCACGACATAACAATTGTTCAACTCCTAAGTCCTAATGGGAGTGGACTATTGGCCTTCTTAAAATTTGGGTTGTGGGCTAATTTTATTGTGATCCTTTGTCAGCTTGCCAACTAAGATTGTAGGCTAATCTTATTGTGATCCTTTACCAGCTAAGATCATAAGACATAAATTACTCAATACACGCTATCAGGCATTCCATCATCACCCAAAAAAAATGAAATCTTGGGGTAGAGGCCAATGATAGGACACGTGGCTTGCAAACAAATGAAGAAGGTCCCACAGTTACATTTGTTATTTCCACCTCTACTTGGCTACATGGAATTCTTCTGGTTGACAAGCAACTGCAGCTGATGGTTAACAGCTTGTAGAGTGAAAATTGTGGTTTTGAGAAAGAATGGAATTGGCTAATGGCTATATCCCATGATTGTGGTTTTGGTGCAGGATGTGTCTCAACTGCAGCTAAAAAAGCGAAAATATTAACTAATTTTGAGTTAGTTGACCAGATGAGCGATACAAAATACACATTTTATTCAGAAATTTAGAATTCATCAGATAGTGATTACCAATGGACACTATAAGCACAAACAGGAACATTTTCACAATGCCCTTAAATCTTCTAAACAAGTATGGCATTAGCTTCTTAATCCGAAACCTATTATACAGCAGATTCAACTTCATCAGTGTTCACAGCTGCTCCATTTGGGTTGTCTTCAGACCTCAACTGAGCAGAAATATCATCTATAGCAGAGTTAAGCTGCTCGATCTTTTCCGCAAGTATCTTGCGTTGTTTCTGAAGTGAAGATAAAATGCATGTCATCATACAAACATATTTGAGGAAACAAAGCCCCCGGGACATAGCTCAGTGGTCGAAAGGTTGAGTGTGGGTGTCGTGACCCAGCAAATGCCCGGGTTCGAATCCTCAATGAGAGAGGATCTTAGCCTTCGGGCAAAAAGCAAGCAATCAAACCCTGCCTCACTGAGACACATCCCGCGATTTACCTCATCTCACAGGCCCGGGACGAAGGGCCCTCAGGTTTAGGGTTAATTTTGTGCACACAATCTGCTTACCTCCAGGACTTTTTCTTCGTCATATAAGAACTTGGGCAGTTTCCTCATGAGGTCTTTCCTATCGGCTCCAGCTAAAGCCTTGCTGATCTGTTCGAGAGCAATGAGATCTGTAGTTATTCATCATGTTGATGCTTGGAGCAAAGAACAATTATGGAACTTAAAATGCCAGATGGCAAGGTCTAGGCGCCTAGCAATTTCTAGTTAACCACTGATTACCTGAGGTGCAAACACACATCCAAGTGCACCGACAACTAATCCTCCTAGAACGAAACCACCAACAAATATCCCAGCACTGCTTGACCTTCCATCATCACTGCTATTATACAGAAAATTGCTATGAACGATTCGTTACATATCAATAATGGATGAAAAGAAAATGAAACTACATTTCATTGTATAATATTCCATTGGAACTTTCACATCTCTCCCGGTATTCTAGCTTGGATCCTTTAGTTGATTTACATAGCATTGCCTATCTCTTTCTTCCTAACTAATACTAGGATCCTAATTACTGATTCACATAGCATTATCTATCTCTTTCTTCCTAACTAATAGTCTGGCCAATGACCTAGGGAAGACGATGATACACTCGGTCCTTCAGGCATAACACAGAAAACAAAAACTAGAAAGAATAAACTTTGATTCAGCCCGCCAATGACCTTGTGGTCTAGTGGCACGAAGTGGCTCTCCCATATGGGAGGTCATGGGTAATGGGTTCGAGCCTCAGTGGGGGTGATATTAACTCTTTGTGCTTCAGTAGGTTGAGAAAGTAGTTATGAACAGATACTACATTGTAACAGTCGATAATACTAAAAAAATGTTGTAGAAGGCGATATGCGCTAGTTGGGCGGTCAGGGACACCTAGCGCCTAGGCGGGCGAGTAATAATAATAACAATAAAACACATTGCACACCCAAAAAAAAAAAAAAAAACACTCGATCGAGTTGGCCAACTCGGGCACCTAGGCCGCCTAGTCGGCCGACTTATTGACCGGACAACTAATGCCCGCCTAAGGATAAAATCCCTCTGCCTAGGGTGGCTAGGCAGGACGCCGAGACCGATTTTTACAACACTATTCAGCCCACAGATCTGTTTTGCATTATGGTTAGCGATACAAACCTGTATTGTGACTGAATAGCAAATGAGCTTCGAGATGTAGATGGGTTTCTGGCATGCCTTCGATTGAAGCACACTTTGGTGGGGCATACACTTTGCTCTATTGACTTTAGACAAGAGCCTGTCACGTTAAAAAATAACAATGCCACACTGCTTTGCTGACAGAGAGTTGGGAGAAAAGGAGCAATAGAGACAGACCAATGCATTATAACTTGTTTGGCTTGTACTCTTTATCAATTTAATAGAGGAACTTGCAATTTCTCCATAATAAAAAAAACGCATGTATAAATTTTTTTTTTAAAGGAACACACAGAAAACAGCAAGCAACATTAATCCAAACCGTCATCTTAATAATTTGAGGCAAACACAGTGCAAGATGCCATATACTCCTTCGAGGCTTCGACATCCTATACCAAACACTAAATACCTATTATTGCCTTGGCCATTCAATTTCAATCAAGCACTCCGGACAATTTGTAAATAAGAAGTCATAGTACAATTTTTTTTGGTTAGGTTACAGTAACAGTATTAAACACTCCTTTGCATTTTATGATAATTAGTGGGAAAACAGAATGGTAAAACGGATCAAAAAGCACATAAAGCATAGAAGGCAAAGAAACTTTTAAAATAAGGGATGCGTGTATCAGTATATGGCACTACGGTCATCTCTATCTCGCAGAAAATTATGGAAAAAGAGTCATACATGTAAACATTTTAGGAATTAGGAGTATTATTGTTCGTGTAATCTGTGTAATCCAAGGAAAGGTCCTTTGATCAAGTAAGGTCCCAGCGCCTATAAATGGTATTATAGATCTCCTAATTCATTTTCCCTAAGAAAATTTTGAAGTTCCCAGAAAAATTGCTTCTCTTGAATTGCAAGTCCTTGTGTTTTACTCCTCCATAATCAATTTCCAACTGAAAGCCAGAGACCTAATAGTCCAATGGCTATGCCCAAGATTCTAGATGAAAGGTCATAAGGTCAAATCACATTCTATTTTTTTAGTCCCTAACTATAAGAGGAACCTCTAAGCATGTACCATACTCAGACTAATCTTGTTCACAGGCCAGCCCAATTAAGGACAAAATGCTGGTCAGATTGTTTTTCCAGGGTAGGGTTTTGAAATCCCGACCACTCTTAAGAGATGAGAGTGCACGGTCACTTTCGAAAGCCTCCCCTACTACGAGAGATATTCCGATCGTTCTAAAGCTTCTACTATTACGAGGTCAGACTTCTCGTGATTTAAGTTTCAATAATTTTATGTTAATATATATTTATACCTAACAATCCCATCTCTAGCGACCGTTTTTCTCTGTTTTCTGACCGTTTCCTTTCAACCCTAAGCTAAAAGATAGCTAGATATTGAGCTGCAAGTAGAACACTAGCACATACGAGTATGCATCATCTATAACAAGAAAAATTCTATCGCCACTGAACTACAATGTTAATTACAGAAGCTCCATTAAAACTTCCAATTTTACTTTATCTTACTGAGATTTGAAATATTTCCTACACTCAAACACATCAAAAAGCAAAGAGAAGAAAGGGGAAAAAATCAGGAAAGATAGTGCGGTGCTGAGTTTAGTAAAATAAATAATTTAAGTACAGAAGACAATGAATCAGAGATCAAGAAACAAACCACAGAAGAAGAATCAATGGAATTACCAGAAGACAAATGGAGAGAAGTGGTTTTGGAGAGGAGCAGTGAGTTAGAAAGAGGTGTCGCCATTTTGTGCAGAGAAGATTATGTGGCGGTGGTGGAGAAGCAGGCATTGGATGATGATTTTTTTTTCGTTCGATTAGATCGATGATGACACTACTATTGGACTTTTTTTTTTTTTCTTTGGGAAAAGGTACAAATAGGGCATTGAACTATTTGGGGGTTAGCAATTAAGCCATCGAACTCAAATAAGCTCCAAATTGATCCATGAACCTGCAAAAAAAGTGCAATTAATATTTTTAACAGGTTAACAACAAGTTACTGCTGACTAGGATGCCATGTGTAATTTTATTTTTTATTTTATTATTTTTATTATCCTAATCAGCATTTGACACCAAAAAAAAAAAAAAAAAAAAAAAAACATTTGACCCTTTCGCTTTATCTCTTTCGCGATTGTTTGCGACATTTTTTGTTTTCTCTCTTTTTCGATTGTTTGCGACATTTTTGAATTAGAAAAAATACATTGAAATTTCAATATTTAAGAAATTACGCGCATAATATAATACAAAATTTGTCTATTTACTAACTAGTGAAAAAATATAATGTTAATATAAATTTGCATTGCTAAGCAGAAATTAATAATATTGTTAATATAGTTTGCATTGCCATACAAAAATACATTGTTAATTGCAACACTACAACATTTGATATGCATAAATATATTGTTAATCTATTACTGCCAAAACATTAACTCAAAACTACTCTTCTGCCAAAACATTAACCCAAAACACCTCTAACAGAATTACACTTTGCTCTAGTATGCCCTTCTTGTCTACAAATGGAACATCTCATTATGCGACCCTTCCTACTTAGTTGAGTCTTCTTACTAGCAGTTGATGAACCTTCACTTTCCTCACGATTTCTTTTCTTCTTTGGCCTACCTGTCATTTTTTTTGGGATTGGAGCCAAAATTTCCTCACAATTTGTTTTAGGCCAGAAGAGTTCTCCATTCATCGGTAGAAGAGCATGTGCATAAGTCCTTTGATATGCTTCTTTTGAGTAGCATGGATCAAGATAATCCTCCATATTCCTGCCATTGTCGAAGATGGCACATATAGCATGAGGGCAAGGTAGACCTGTCAAATCCCATGATCTACACGAACATGTCTTATTTTCAAGCCTGACTTTGAAATGATTTCGTCCTTTCTTAATCTCATATCCATCATCTCCATTAAAATCAACCTAGCAACAAAATTTACCACTCAAATTTAAACCCCAACAAATGTAATGTTATATTATTTTTAAAAAAATTGTATAAACAATGTACCTTCCATCCAATGCTTTCTTTCTTATTTGCAATTAGTTTCTTCATAATAAGTGGTCCATATCTACCTTTCCAAGTGTCTACGAACTTCATTTTTTTGGCTATCCTTCTCATAGCAAGCACTCGAATGTCTTCAAGCATGGGAATTATTGGCTTGCATCTTGCTTTAAGCAAAGTCCCATTGAATGCTTCGCATATATTATTATCAACAATGTCACATTTACTTGTTGTTCTAAAAAAAGCCTTGCACCAAAACTTAGGTGGATACCGTTCTAGGTCAGCTTTAGCCTCTTTGTCTCTCATTTCTAAGGCTTTTAGTTGTTCATGAAATTGAACTTCTGTTGTTGACTTGGCGCACATCCAAAAGTGATTCTTCATAACTTTTCCTTTATGGCGCTTACTCCAATTTGCATGCACATGCCTTGCACAATTTCGGTGCTCTGAATCCGGAAATAACTCTTGGATAACAGTTGTTAATCCCTGAAATTAAAATTATATATATAATGATGCAGTAAGAAAGACACTAGTCACTGTATATGAAGCAAATATACATTGGTCAATGTAATGTAGATACTGCTAGTGATTGTAATTAACACAAGCTAGTCAATGTAATTAAGATACTACTAATTAAAACTGCAACAAGAGCAACATAAAATAAGAACATGATAAAATAAAATTAAGATTCAAAAAACAAGAGCAAGATAGCCTCTTTCACACCGTAAATAGCAAGAAAGAACTACTAATACATTTTGAGCAAATGACATCACTAAATACATTTAAGAGTGCATACCTTCTGCTGGTCACTGATTATTGTCCAAGGGTAAGTGTTGGTGATTCCCAAATCATTTTTCAGCAACTCTAAAAACCATCCCCATGAATCTGTGTTCTCAATCTCCACCACAGCCCATGCAATAGGGTACATCTGATTGTTTGCATCTCTTCCTACTGCAGTTAATATTTCTCCCTTTAGCAACCCTTTGAGAAAACACCCATCCAATCCAATAATCTTTCTACATCCATCTAAGAAACCCCTTCTTAGTGCATCAAAACATACATAAATTCTTTGGAACACACAAGGACTGTCAGGTGTGACCATACTGGTTTTTAGTTTTACTTTGCTTCCTGGGTTAGAGTTCATACACTCTTGTGCATAGTCCCTTATTCTCCTAAACTGATCCTCAAAGCTTGCATTAATTTTTTTGAGCACAGACCTAATTGCTCTTCTCACTTTGCTAATACTTAAATTTATTTTCAATTCTGACTCAATGTGATTTTTCAACTCTATAGGTCCAATGCAAGGATTATCTCTAATTTTTTCTTCATATTTATCTTCTATCCAACTTTGACTCACCAAACGCAAGCTGAACTTTTGATTGCAATTATGGTTGGCCTCAAGAGTCTTTAATTGAAAACACTTGTATTTCTCCTCCCATGAAGCAGTGCAATGAAATGGGCAGCCTTTACCATCAATACTCTCAATGCCAGCACATTTAAACATCACTCTCATACTCTCATTTTTATAATAGCATATGTCCCTCTTAAAGTGCACTGCATAATTAATCATTGCTTTCTTAAACTCTGATGCATCTTCATAAAACATGCCCAACTCTAACTCGGGAAATTCAACACTTGGATTGTAAGATGGAAATTTACATTTGACCTTGGCTTTACTTGATTGTTCCAGTTGTAGTTGAGCTTCATCATCTTCCATCTCAGATTGGTAACTAGGTGGATTATCTGACTCATAATAAACACTATCTACTTCATCATCCTCAATAGTGTTTTCTTGAACTGTATGTTTCTTTTTTCTACTTGGTGCATGTGTTGCTCCTGATTTCAATTCTGCACCATGATTTCTTTTTTCTGCTTCTTCATCATCCTTATTACATTCATCATGTTCATCATCATTATTCTCTTCACCATCATCATCATTACCTTCATTTGTTTCCTCAAGATCAACACTTGGATTACCTTCATTTTCTTCTTCAACACCATGCTCAACATATATGTCCACCTTCTTATATCTACGTGCTAGCGTCATCAACTCCATCGTGTGGGTGTCATTAAAGAATGGCCTAAGCTTTTCCATCGCCTCCATACTTAACTTGTAAGATAGACTTTTGACCTTACCATATCTCTCATGTGCTATGAACTTCATCAAGTGAGGTACACAAATAAGATCGGGATCAGTTGTTACTTCATCAACTTCTCCATTTATATATCGTAGTCTTGGATCTTGCACAAAACTACCCCCATAATGAATTCTCAAATCTACTATGTCATACATTCTGAAAATTGTAAAATGGAATACATAAAATTGCAGGGATTATGCATCAAAGTAAAGGAAATGCATTATAACTGCTCAGAATGAAACTGCCCAAAATGAAATATTTAGACCATAAAAGCAGAGTGTTTCAAACTGTCTAGAATGGATGCATTATAACTGCTCATTATAATTTTAGGGGTGAAATTAATGACTAACAAAATTAGTGAAACAAATATTCTAACAAAATTGACTTTATCAAATGCAATAAGAACACCTGCACCAGCATCCAATTTATCATAAAAACATGAGATTCAAAATCTCAATTTTTCACTCCAAATAAAACTGTGTCAATTGTTACACAAAACAAAAGCAAAACCAGGCCCCAAAACAAAAGCAAAACCATGCCCTCAGTTTCATGAATACCAAGCTATATTGCAGCTCATCATCCCCCAAAAATCCCAAGTTCAATTACAGTACAAGATTTCTTTATTTTCACTAAAACTATCACACAAAGCCAAACCTCATCATCTTGATTCCATTTACAAAATTCAAAAACCAAAATGAATTAGAAGAAAAATTCAAAAATTAAAAAAAAAATACATGGAAATTTCCCGAACACAAAATTACATAGAAAAAAAAGAGAAGACCTGGAGGGTTATCGCTTTCCAGAACAGACCGTTCTTCTACTTTGATGCCTGAACCCAAAAGAACAAGAATACAAGTGAGTAACAACAATACCTGTAATTGTTCCCAAAAGCAGTGAAGGATAAAAATGAGTTGGTTACTCACTTGTAAGTGTTAAAAAATAACGCAAACAACAGCAAAAGATAGAAAAACAGCAAAATAGAGAAGAAATTACCAATTTATTGTAGAGTTTTCCGGAGAAAAGTAAAGTTGAGCCGGAGAGATTGGAGCCGATTCGATGTTCGCAACAAAGCAACGAAGAAGAGAAGAGGAGAGATTGGAGCCGATTCAAAGCAACGAAGAAGAGAAGAGGATTTGATGTTCGCGACAAAGCAACGAAGAAGAGAAGAGGAGGGATCGGAGCCGATTCGGAGCAACGAAGAAGAGAAGAAATATGGTTTATTTTGACAGTAGTCTTGGTCAAGAGGGTCAAATGCTTAAGTTTTTTTTTTTTTTTTTTTTTTTTTTTTGGTGTCAAATGCTGATTAGGATAATAAAAATAATAAAATAAAAAATAAAAATTACAAATGGCATCCTAGTCAGCAGTAACTTGTTGTTAACCTGTTAAAAATGTTAATTGCACTTTTTTTGCAGGTTCATAGATCAATTTGAAGCTTATTTGAGTTCGGTGGCTTAATTGCTAACCCCCAAATAGTTCAATGGCCTATTTGTACCTTTTCCCTTTTTCTTTTTTAAATGTACTTGTACTTTCGAAACGTTTCTTTAACAATGGTGTTATAAATTTTATTATTTTGTGATATAAATACATTTAAGATAGGCATGAGCATCGGTCGGATACGGACGGATCGGATGTCCAATCGGTCCATCCGATCGGATTTTGAATTTCATTTGTACCCCCCTATCCGTTTA